AAAGTTTGATACATTCAAGCCAACCGTCTTCTCAGGTTGGCTTGAGATGTTTATACGTTATTCGATTGAGCAAAATCTCTTCTTACTAAAAATGAAAAGTTTGTTTAGAAATTCCTACTCTCCGAGAAGATGTAGCAATTTTTGTGATGCTGTACGGGTTAGCACATTCAAGCCTACAGTACCCTCAGCTNAAGTTTGATACATTCAAGCCAACCGTCTTCTCAGGTTTGCCCGGAAACATATTTATGTTTATACGTCATTCGATTGAGCAGAATGTCTTCTTTCAAAAAATGTAAAGTTTGTTTAGAAATTCCCACTCTCCGAGGAGATATAGCAATTTTTGTGATGCTATACGGGTTAGCACATTCAAGCCTACAGTACCCTCAGCTTTGACCAGTAACATATCAATTTCTTCACACCAATCGATCGAGCAGAATCTCTGGATTCAGAAATATATATATTTTGTCGAGCGATTTTGCTTCGTTGAGGAGTTCTAGCTATTTTATTAAAGTTGTCTCAACTAGCGCTGAGGTGCTCATTGTTATGCATTTGCTCACTATAGATCAATGGATGCAATGCAATAGTATAGAAATTTTAGTTGGAGTATCTCTCCCCATTCCCATTCAGAACGTTTATATAAATCAATTTCAGTTTGTCCAAAACCTCAGCATGGACTGGGCTCATGTAGATGCTCACTGTCGGAAAAGGAAAAGGAATAGCTAGGCGACATTCGAAGAAAGTTTGGAGCATCATCTAAATCATCACAATATTGGGGTGCTTGGATTGGAAGTTATGAAACTGGTGGGGCTTGGCAACGGTCTGATGGAACTCAGGTAAAACGCTTTCAAAAACGGATTCATTTCCGAATGAGCATAATCAGGAATTTTGAAATTGAAGATAATTCACTAATCGAAGCAATGGAACTTGCAGAATTATTGTCACCAGTTCAACCATGCTGCATTTCAATCGTACTATTGGGGCCCCCTGCATTGTGCAGGGAAACGGATGTCGTGTACTGATAACATTTATCGCACTCTATTCAAACGTCACTATAGTAACCGGATTCTGCTTTCGTGGGCAAATGTCAAGTGCACGATTGTTGTTCAAAATGCGATCGGCAACGAAGAGTTTAGGAAGAAGCGATCTGAGCCAATGTGCGTTCACTTCTGAACCTCATCAATGCTGGCATATGAATTTCAGTGTTGATTTATTGTAATAAAATAAAACAATTAGTAATATGAATAGAACAATTTCATTACACTCATAACAGTTCATCGCATTGCAAAATAAAAAACGCTTAAAAAACGCACAAAAAAAATAAATCAAAATAAAACGTAATGTAGCAATATTTCACCAAAGTTGTTACATCTAGTGTTCGTCGGGGAACGGGCTCCTCATCGGGGACCCCGGCAGGGAACGCGGGGAGGGCCCCCCCGCGTACTTTCCTCCCCGACTTTTTCGCNCCCCTCCCGAGCGATCCGCTCCCCGACCTTTTCTCGGGGTCCCCCCGTCCAGTTTCACTCCCCGTCCTCCCCGACGGGGAGCGCAAACTTTCGCGAATATCGCGAGCAATCAACTGAAAATGGTGAAAGACCGCTGCAACACTTTCAATATTGTCTTGTTGTTTGTTTTGAAATGTGAGTATAAGGTGCACTTGAAAGAAAACTACCTAAAAAAAGAAGAAAATTCTTTAAAAAATTGAAATTTTGTTTTAAAATGCTTCCCGTCCTCCCCGGCGGGGTCCCTCCCCCCGCGCAATTTGCTCCCCGGCTTTTTTGCGTGGACCCCTTCGTCCAATTTGCTCCCCGCGGGGTCCCCTTCCCCCCCCCGTGCGAAAAACTGCTCCCTGACGAACACTAGTTACATCACGTAAACGACCATCAAAGTAATGAAGCGTTAACTTCCAATGCTTTACTACTCAATTACATCACGTGAATGATCATCACAAATGAACAAATGCATTAAAAAGAGATCAAAGATATATTTGCTTAAAAAAGCCGGCAGCAGAAACAACAAACGATGCCTACTAAAGCCTAACCTTGAGATATATCAGTGGATTCAGAAAGTTTCTGACTTTCTCACAAAAGCAGGTGTACCTTAACTTTGGAATCAAACCAAAGATGGATGCGAATTTACTGAAACAAACCGAAGATGAACCTCAACCTTTAATTCGTTCGAATGTCGGAACATCATTCTACGAGTGAATTCGGTTATAAGAATGATCAAAGAGCAACTGAACAGCCAAACATGAAGTACTGTTCATTATTTTATTGCAGATCGCTCGATAAGGAATGAGTAAACCCAATGATCAGGTGATTTCAGCATTCGAATACTTTTAATGAATAAATGCTCAATAAGGAATTATTCAATCCAGCTGCTATAATCTTTTGGAAATATGTTTAATCCAAAATGTGAAATCTTCTCGAAGAAGTAGTAAAAAGTGATGCAATGAATGAATCTTACTTGAGTCAAAGAATGACTGAGGAATGCTTATTCAGTTTCTCTCGAGCATAATTTCGGCAGGTAATTTGGTTCTGGTTGAACATCGCTACAGCCAAACAAAAAATGATGGGAGTTGCTTGTGAACATACAATTATAAGATCGAAGCGATTCTTCTCGATTTCGATGTTCTTTTTGGCTTCGTTTGGAGCCATACAAACATCGATAAACCAAATAAAATGAATAAACCAATGAAGAACATTTCAATTCCAAGAAATATGAAAAATGTCGACGACCATCGGTGTTGTCCACCAGACCTTAAAAGTAATCATAAATAGCAGAGTATGTGAGTGATCAAAGGATAAACATGCATAAAGCATAAATCTGAATTCAGCTAATAGCAAATTTTTCACAATTGTGAGAAGCAAATGATTGAAACCTTCGGCAAATATTCGAAGCTAACAGTAGTTGACTTCACTGAAGAAATTACTGTAAGTGAATTGATACAACAAAAAGGATGAAATCAAAAGCATACAACAGAAATGGTGCGATTGTCAAATTGAGATTATTTTCGTGAGCCCCAATGCAACAGTTTGAAAAAGGAAAAATATCGCATTCAAATGTTAAAATATGTTCAACTTTCATTGTTTTCTGCGTTTCTCACCGGTGAATAAAGACTTCTAAATAATCTGAATCACAGCTGAGCACTGCTTCCTTGTCAATGCAAATTTTCATAATCATGTATTTCAACTGAGAGAGACGAAGCCGAAAATACACTGTTCTGAGTAGGGTTATTGCATGGTTCAATGCGATAGTGTATGAATACGCAATATGGTTAGTCTACCATGAATCTGAATTCGTCATTGAAGTGCCGAATGCATTTAAGAACTCGTCCTCCGTTAAGTTATACTCACTGCTCATCGAATACTCGACCAGCGACTGGGTATTGTTTATGATATGTGAGTCAGATGAATCATCTGATGCACCTTCAACATACTGACCGATGCTGTCACCTGAAATGTCAACGTTTGTCGTCATAACCCAAAACTTTGGATTGTTGAAGCTCCTGTCACAGCAGATGGAGTGCTTCTCAGCTGTTTAGGAACAGAAACGATAGTACAATCATTCCCGGTTAATGACACGCATTTTACAGGAGAAAATGATGGATCAAGAATTTTTTAAAGCGTAAATTCCGTGTGAACATGCTAACGGTAAGTGCAATAAGAAACCAATCCTGAGGAATGATATTTGCAAGGCGTTTTTTGTCAGTGAACAGTGGTTGAGTGCGAGTGCTTGGATGGACTGTGGGACATTAAGGGGCTCGTTTCATTTACTGAGGACATCGGAAGGGATTCGGTTGATCGGTGAATAAATTATCGAGTACTTAGAGAGTAGATTGCTCTTGACTGCATCGCAATGAATTTTATTCGCATTGATGTATGTCTGCTATTTCTTGATTGTCTCATTTCTGAATAGCTACACATTACCCATTATTCATCTAATATGTCAGCCTCTTTTTTCAACGTATTGGATTTTGATGGATGCATCTGTTTAGAAATTTTTGAAAGATTGAAAAAATCATCCTACAGCTTAGAAAGATGGAGTGTTCCTTGTCACATTTAGTTCCTCTTTCCGATTCACTACCCGCTGACCACATTAAATCATTATGTCTCAGTCTGGAAGATATAATCATGCAAAATATTACTACCAACATCATATTTCAACTAACTATGAAGTATGGCGGTTTTGATCCGAATGAACGGTTTGCTCCCGTAATTTCGTAGCCAGTTAACATCTTTTAAGACGACACAACATCGCTTTTCATTGTGATCAGTTCCGATAGATATGTCATCCTCATTCAGCCTCATCCATTTATACATCATCCTCCATCGTTCACCAACATTAAAATCAATGCCGTCCTTGTCAATTACAATCTGTAAATCATACTGTCTAACTTATCTATTGTCATAGTTTCGTTCACAAATTATAATGACTTTATGTTTTCTGGTTTACAAGTTGGCGCATATGCTAGTTCGTTCATTTATTGTAATGAGCCAGTTGATCTAGATATTTATTTCTTCATATCTTACTTCAGCTTATAACTTACTAGTTAGACCATTTGACTGTGAGCAGTTTTTTCATGGTTCGTGTCCGTTAAATTGCTGTCGTTTAAAATTAGATGAGTAATCTTGAGGATATTCATTAAATTAGATTTATCTGAATAAATTGATGAAGCAACTGGATTCGTAGGGGACGGCTTGAGAATTGCTTGTGAGAACTGCTCATGCAAATGGAGCGGAAAAGAACTGAGGGAACCTAAGGAATAAGCTGAAGTAACACATTAATCGAATTCGTTTCATAATGGTTTATTCAACTAGAGAACGTGCTAACAGCAGACGTACCAACGGCAAAATAGTGGGAATCAACATAGGCAAAAATTTTATACTTCTCATCGCAGCGTTCTTAACAAACCAATACGACTGTACTTAGTGAATAAAGTGAACGACCCGAGGGATCCAATCAAACGTTTCAGTTTCATGCTTTCATTCGGATCAGAGTTAGGCAATCCTATAGCAATTACTGGCGAAAAGTGTTGAAGGGAGCTATGATTTGGTGATTCGAACTGACCTTTATACTCAGGAATCTTGCTGGCGAGCAATTCGTCGTTGTGGGGATTACCCTTCTGAGTATTGTTCCACCTTCCGAAATCAGCAGCGACGAAGGTTCCGTAATATTCTCTTTGAAACCAATCGCGATGCGAATGCCTTCAGATTGCTTTTTGCCATTCAGTGTCAGAGTTATCCTGCATTAATGCAATCCACCTCAATATCGCGTCTACTCCAAGAAAATGTTTATGCTAACAAAAAATAAGTGAAATGCTGCAAAACGACAAAGGTCTGAATGTGTTACACAGTGTTATCTTATTGAAAGCATATAGCAGTTGGATGATTTACATCGGTTTTATATCGCAAATGAGGAAAAGTGGATTGTTACCTTTTACAATGTCTACTCATAGAAACGTTTAAGTTAAGTATGCCAGCGCCATTCACTGATACAAAAGTCTGATTGCCAGAGCGCGTGTTCTGAAATTGTATTCGCTTGGACATTTTCAAAATTTATGTGTTATGAAGGTGAAATCTCGAAAAGATGGCGGTGCCACAAAAGTTTTGAGAAACAGTCACTTAAACCATCTGACTTAAACTGAAGTTAAACTTAAACTAGAAACAGTGACTTAAAAATTGAAGTTAATCTTTTTAAATCTCAGTTTTTGACTGCGAATGCATTCTGACTATTCAGTTTGTCCGCAGGAGATTTAAAATAACTTCCATTACAAAGGCTTCAATTAATGCATGTCTTTGTTAAAAGTCGAAAGTCATCTGAACTTAACTGAGGGAGTGCATGCGTTTCCACTCCCCTCCCCCTCAGTTCAGTTGATATTCATTGGCTGAAATGCGCTGTCGATGCAGTGAATCGAGTTCAGAGAATCAATATCATGAAAACGCAATTTTAGCTTCATTATGCCTCCTAATGAATTGCTCTTATACTTTATTCGAACGCTCATAAAATTTTTTGCGTGTTCACCGATTAAAATGTCACGCTATGCAAGCTTGGGCCACGATTAACAATAAGCTGTTTTGTTCTGTTCAGTGGAGCGAATTTATGCGAGGCAAATAAAGGATTCCATTTCACTTCTAAATGAGCAATAAATGAAGCAAATAAAAATGAGTCATTTCGATGCCCTAATTTCTACTGCATAGAGCACGAAAGCACTCTCTGAAAAGTTAATTGAGATATTCGGAGATTTCCGAAAATTCTCGTGAAAAAATCGAAATGTGCCATAACAATCAACAAAAGACGAACTTCGAATGCATTTGATAGGTCAACTGTGAAGAATACAGATACAGTTGTCACCAATAAAGAGAAGCTTTCCATCTCTGTGGAACTAAAATAAAAAGAGATTTGAAACAATATCAATTGATCGCTAAGTATCGAGCGAATCGATAAGCGACTATTGGAACCGTTCGCATCATTTGACTTGATGGAATCGCTTATGGAACATACACAGTTGAATATACCTATTCAGCAAAAATCTGTGAAACCTGATCGTTTCCTTCCTGGTCTTCTTCTATGTAGGTGCTAAAATTTTAAAAATCAGGCAAACATTTTGATTGATTTTGGCAAAATTTACTTTATCTTTTGATATCATCTTTCAAAAATTGAAGCTTAGCTATAACATCCGCTCCCTACAGCACTAGTTCAGTGAAGAATAATTACGAGGACAAAGATCACGGTAGGTATACAACGTAGATAAGAAATTGGGCTTTCATGCCAGGGTTTTTAAATTCATTGTGAAGAGGTTTCTTCGAAGGCTTCATGCAATTAGACTAAAGTAAATAAATGCATCAAGCATGATGAAAAGGATGTATTATTTAATCAAACTGCCATGACTTGCATAAACATTATCTGGAGATTAGGGCGGTCCAATTTAACTGAAGTAGACGAAACGTTCTATTTATGAGTTACCTCGTGGAGAATGAAGTAAATACGTTCTCGTAGACGAGGGTGCTAAGTGCATTCGAGTAAAAACGAATGAGTAGGTGGGTATATTCGAAATGAATGCATGGAAAAACGAGATATTTTTCATCATAATGAATGGTTAAATTGTACGTGCAATACTGGCTGCTTGAAAACATCGCTTAATGTTCTCGCAATCAAAGTGATTATTCAGTTCGAACGACCAATTAAATTTGATGATTATTCATTCCATTTAACTTTTAGATGAATCCAAATATCTAACATTGTATCATTTCATCACCGTATGAATGATAATGACTGCTAAAAATATAAAATCAAGTTAAGAATTCAATTCGAATTGCTGAAAATATCGTCATCGTATTAAACAAAACAAGCTCCGAATGCTGCACTGCTTGGAATTGGACCGCTCGCAGCTGTTCAAAGTTTGATGAACTCACTCAGCGCGTTTACTCCACAAAATTTCGTTGGTTTTTTGCTCATTGCGTTTGATGCTCATTTCTTCCCTGGATACTCTTCATCTTGTCATCATCATGTAATAATGTACCAATGCCTACCAACGCGGAAGTATGGACGACTGCAGTGGGCATCACTTGAAATGCCTGATTTCTTTTCAGTTCCTGAAAATCTATTCAATGAATTGATGAATTGTATCTTTATTTTTTTCTACCGTGAATGCAAGTTGAAGGTAGTGATTCATTGAGAGTTAGCACGTGTTCTGTGGTTGTCCGATGTTTTGGTTTGTACACATTGTGCGTTAGTTTACACTTTGTTTCTGAATTTAATTTGTATATATTGCTTTTTTTTTCAGCTTAATGTTGTCAACAAACGAAGCGCATTTCACCATCGACTTTTAGCATTAATTGAGATGAAAACCCCATTTGATTCATTTGATGCACATCAAAAATATCATCTTAGTTGGAGTTTTCGTGACGTTCCCCTTGCAATCAATGCATCGCTAATTGCAACGATATGAAATGATTGGAAGCTCGATTGGAAACAATGAAACAATCGAAACTTTTTCAACGGAAAGAACAAAAAATCTCCATTTTCAACACTCATATCTACCAAAGCGATAGCTTAAGATGTATCTCACTATGAAACAGATTTTGACCCAAGCAGCTCAGTACATGGAGATGAAACTTGGTTGAATGTACACTTTTCAAAAGCTTAAAAATTCGCAGAAGTTATGATGTTTCAACGTTTTTAGCGTTGCTTACAATCGATGCTGATATTACAGCTCGAAGAAACCTTTCGTAGTAGTGTTCACGTTTTTAGATCCACATCTGTGTATTGACACAGTCTGATTAACGCATTCACTATCCATACAAAAAGAGTCGAAGGAGCATAATATCTGAATACCTCACGCTCAGTTCATGCAATCTTGCTGAGCACTCAGCGTTGGCAGACAAATGCATCCACCTTCATGCCATCGCAGCAGTGCATTGTGAGCTTGCGATCGCGAGAGGAGAATACCTGCTTTGATTTATCTCTCTTTTGATGATCACTAAGCAAATGATTTCACTCTGAATACAGCATAGAAATCTGACCAATGGGAATGCAACGGAACGCAATTCCACTGATTTGCAATTTGTAACTTAGAAGTAGAGCTCAGCTGCAAATCTGCTGTAAGATGTTATCATATGATGAAGCAGCATTCGATTATTGAGAGAATTGATTTGACACGGTGATTTTATCATTGTCGGAATTCGTTTTTGATGGACAGATACATCATAAAAATATATTCG